CTGTATTGCCCTGCCACTTATAAAAACTATTCAGGACACCACTAAGACAATGTGGCAGACCCCTGCCTCCTTACCACTGATGGCAAAGAGGATTGAATGAAAGTACTTTGTTCCCTCTAAGAGGTTTGAGCATTTTTATACTCATCTCCTTAGTGGTAGCAGCGGCAAATGAGCAGGAGCGCCAAGGGTACCAGGGCCCATCCCCTAAAAACCGGGAGGATTTTCCTCTTTGGGAGGAAAATTTATTCCACCGGGGGGACTCCAGCTCCAAATTTCTAACCATAAGGCTGTCCTCAGCAAGTACAACTACAACTCATGCGGAGATATGGCAAAGTTCATGGAGCTTCTGCCAGAGGACTCCGGGGCAGAGTTCTCCTCCTTGGTAGAGGAGGATAAGCTAATTGCCAGGGCTTCACTCCAGGAAGCCCTTGATGTGGCTGATTCGGCCACCCACACCATGGCCTCTGGGGTAGCCATGAGGAGGAGCTCCTGGCTGCAAGTATCAGGGCTCCCATATGAGTTCCAGCAGACCATACAGGACCTCCCCTTTAAGGACTCGGCCCTCTTTTCAGAATAAACTGTCTCACAGCTTCATAGCCTCAAGGATTCAAGGGCCACCCTCAAGTCCCTTGGCCTGCACACTCTGGCTATGCAATGGAGGCACTTTAAGCCTCAATCTCCCCCCCCCCCCATTGTTTCTACCACCCACAAAACAGGCAGGATTTTTCTAAGAGGTGTAACAGGAACAATAGAAAGAGGCCTCCCCCCTCGTCAACCCAGGTCCCTGGGCAGGCGAAACAGTCCTCAGGCCAGAAACAGAACTTTTGAAGGTGTGCCCAGGGGCGACGCACCAGTCCAGACTCTGGATCCATCCCCCCTTACCTTCTCGTGCTGACTGTCCCGTTTCTACCCTGCATGGGCCTGAATTACATCAGATCGCTGGGCAACTCCACATGGTAGAAAGGGGATACTCTCTCCAGTTATCCTCCCTCCCCCCCATCCACCCTCTTTCCCGGTCCCTCTTCACGGACTCTTCTCACGCAGGAGGTCACATGCTCCTAATGGTGGGGGCAGTGGAAGAGGTTCCTCGGGAGCTGAAGGGCAAGGGTTCTGTTCACGGTATTTCCTAATACCGAAAGCCAAAGGTGGCCTCAGGCCCATCCTAGTCCTGTGAGACCTCAACAAGTTCATAAAGAAACTGAAGTTCCGCATGGTCTCTTTGGCATCCATTATCCCTTCCTTTGGATCTGGTATGCCACCCTCAACTTGGAGGACGCTTACTTTCATATTTCAGTAATACCATCCCACAGAAGGTACCTCAGGTTCCTGGTGAACCACAATCATTATCAGTTCACAGTCCTTCTGTTTGGCCTGTCAGTGGCTCGTCGGTGTTTACCAAGTGCATAGCAGTTGTGGCTGCATTGTTGCGTAAGCGTCAGGTGCAGGTGTTTCTGTACCTTGACAACTAACCGATCAAGGGCCGCTCCAGGGCACAAGTGGAGGTACAAGTGAGCTTCATAAGGGCTACTTTCAATTACCTAGCCCTTCTATTGAACATACAGAAGTCAACCCTATCCCCCGTTCAGTGGATAGAGTTCATAGGGACAGTATTGGACTCTACAGAGGCAAGAGGGTACCTCCTGGAGTCACGTTTTCGGTCCCTGTGCGACATCATACAAAGTCTCAGGCAGTTCCCTACCACCACAGCAAGGAATTCCCGAAAGCTTCTGGCCCACATGGCTGCTTGTACCTATGTAGTACAGCACGCCAGACTGAGACTCCAACCTCTTCAGGGCGTGGCTGGTGTATCGGCCTACTTGGGACAGTCTAGACAAAATTGTCACTCTACCTCGACCGGTTCTCGAGTCCCTCCTATGGTGGCTCGACCCTCAAGTGGTGTGTGCAGGTGTCTCCTTCGCCAGGCCACAGCCATCCCTTTTGCTGGTGATGGACGAGTCAGTGATGGGTTGGAGTGCGCATCTAGGAGACCTCAGGACTCAGGGCCTCTGGTCCCAAGCGGAGCTCTCACTTCACATCAATGTCAGAGAGCTGAGAGCAGTCCATCTAGCATGCCAGACATTCCAAGCCCATTTGGAAGAGAAATGTGTATTGGTCATGATGGACAGTACAACAGTGATGTTTTATATAAACAGACAGGGGTGTGCATGCTCCTCTCCCCTGTGCCAGGAAGCCCTCAAACTGTGGGATTTTTGCATAGCTCACTCAATACACCTGGAGGCGGTGTACCTTCCCAGAATCCAGAACGAGTTGGCGGAATATCTCAACAGGTCCTTTCACAACCACGAGTGGTCCATCTGTCTGGATATCGCAAATACCATTTTCCAAGATTGGGGATTTCCCCAGCTAGACTTTTCACCACGCGACACAACAGGAAGTGCCTGCAGTTCTGCTCCTTTCTGAATCACAGCCCGGGCTCCATCATGGATGTGTTCCTCCTTCCCTGGAAGGGACACCTCTTGTATGCATTTCCACCCATACCCCTCGTTCACAAGGTGCTGCTCAAGGTTTGAAGGGACAAGGCCTCGGTGATAATGATAGCTCCGCCAGCACTGGTACACTTCTCTCCTGGAAATGCCCATGGAAAACCCAATCACCTTACTGCTGCTCCCAGATCTGATAACCCAGGACATCTAATGGAGCCACCTTTTGAATCGCTTGCAGCATGTTCTCTGCTGTACCTCTCATATAAGGTGGCATTCCTGGTAGCCAGGAAGGTGTCTGAGATCAAGGTTCTAACATCTGAGCCTCCTTACACTGTGTTCTATAAGGACAAGGTTCAGCTTAGACCGCATCTGGCCTTTCTCCCTAAAGTTGTCCCCCAGTTTCATGTTAACCAGGATATCTTTCTTCCAGTTTTCTACTCCAAGCCACACGCAAGCAGTAGGGAGCAAAAACTTCATTCGTTGGATGTTCGCTGGGCGTTAGTCTTCTATATTGAGTGGATGAAACTGTTTCGGAAGTCTATTCAGCTGTTTGTCGCAGTAACAGACAGTCTCCTCCCAAAGAATTTCATCATGGATCACGTCTGTGTCCGTGCATGCTATGATCTGGCATAGATACCCTCCACTTACAGCACACTCTACTAGAGCACAGGCATCATCAGCGGCGTTCCTGGCCCAGGTTTCGACCCAAGAAATCTGCAGAGCTGCGACGTGGTCCTCAATCACACTTTTACCTCGCATTATGCCATTATTCAGCAGGCTAGAGATGATGCAGCCTTTGCCAGAGTGGTGCTACAGTCAGTAAACTTTTGAGCTCTGACCCCTCCTCCAAAATTTAGGCGTGGTAATCACATAATTGGAATTGACATGAGCAATCACTCAAAGAAGAAAAAACCGTTACCTACCTTTCGTAACAGTTGTTCTTCGAGATGTGTTGCTCATGTCCATTCCAATACCCACCCACCTACCCCTCTGTCAGAGCAATCTGGCAAGAAGGAACTGAGGTGGCAGTGGGTCGACAGTGCCCTATATTCCGCGCCATGAAGGTGTGACTCCAGGGGGCACCTGGATTGACCCAACGGCTACTAATAAGGGAAAATCCAAAGTAGTGGTAATTTGACTGTTTCTCTCCAGGCAGCATCAGAAGTAAATCAATGGGGGCATACGTCATCTGGCACAATAATTGGCACAAGCAGAGTGTTTTCTCCTAATTTTTTATAACTAACCTCAAACAAAGCACATAACCTATAGTAACTCCTAGCAGTCATCGTAGTAACACCTAATGGGTCACCAGTTTTTCTAATTTCAGCAAAACTACTCATTATCTCTTATCATCAAAACATTTTTAATCATAACAATGTGTTGGGGCACTTAAAATCAAGGTCACTATTCACTCACTCTCTTCCATATTTATAATCTGTTAACTTTCTGTCCCATCCTCCCATTCTGAAAGCAAAGCTGCAGACATGCAGCTGCGTGGCCTTGCTGCTCAGGGCCTAAGATTTTCCTAGCTATGTGATGTTTGGTTTTCAGCTGGCAGTGGCTGAACATACAAAATTACTGACTGCAGTACTGTCCCATCTGGGCTACATGCAGGAATGTCAAATTCTGGGGTACCATTTCATTCACATAGGTGTTGGTGTGGCATTTGATGCACAGAATGAGGTACACCACATATGATAGGCATATGTAGGACCCATGGATCTTGAAAAGTATTTTGTGGGGGACGTGTTGATCATTGTAGGGGTGGAGATACGTCTATGGGTTTTTATATTTTGTTTTGGCAGGGTCTGGTGCCCTTGAGTTGGTGTGTCCTGGTCTGTGGGGAGCTTGCTTCTGATGAGGTTGGTGAGGTTAGGATTTTGTTTGAAGGATAGAAGAAGAGGTTTGGAAAAGATTTCATTCAGAATGGGTCCTCATCAAGTCTGACACTGATTGTATCATCCATTACAACAACTTTGTGACACACCCTGCTACATACTAACCCCCCATTGTCTGTGATTGAAGAGGTGTTAATTGCCCACTTCATTTAATGTATTTTCCAATAACATCTGTGAACTCTTATGCTTAACAATCTGTCCCACCTTCTGTTTAGCTTAAACATTTTAGTTTCCTTCTCCAGACCTGAAGAAGAGCTGTGTGAAGCTGAAAATCTTGTCACTTTCAACAACAGAAGTTAGTCCAGTAAAAGATATTACCTCACCCTCCTTGCATCTCTCATGTCCTCGGGCTAATACAGCTAAAACAACACTGTAAACAAACATGTTATGCATAAAGATAGTTATAGATATTCCACAAATTGGGTGTAGGAATACATTTGTGAGGTAGAGATTTTATTCATTCTTTAAATGACTTAGGGATAGAATGAATGACTTAATATGTCTTTTCCAGGGCTTATTTCTATGTTTCTATTAAACTAATAATGGTGTAATCATACTGCTTTTAAAAATTGTAAACTTATCTGGAAATGAAAAATAATATTGAGATTTTTTCTGAGAAAGTATGTTCACTATGTTTTCCATTAACACTTTATCATAGCATCCTGTGACCTGGCAACCTTCCAAAGATGGAGACCGTCTAATTGGACGGATTTTATTAAATAAACGACTAAAAGATGGAAGCGTGCCTAGAGACTCGGGAGCACTGCTTGGACTGAAGGTTAGTAATGGACAATATTGAAAATATGTATTACTTTGTTAGCTAAATGTTAAGTAATTACATTTAAAGTTCAGTAAACTAGGTTAATATGTAAGAAAGACATTATTTTAAATGTTGCCATTACACTCAGAAATACAGTATAATGACATTTTATCTTCAGTTATCAGAATGATTACTTTTTTAAGGTCTTAGATGTGCTTAATAAAATGAATACTAGAAGGGTGTTGGAACGTTGTTCATATTAATGCTATATTGTTTTTAATTGCATTTATGGACTTTTATGTTTTAAATAAACCAAGTTGTGATTTAGTTTGTATTTATTTATTCTATATGATTGTTAAGCAATACGTTTTCAGATTTATTATGATTTGTTGTCTAGTACATATCTGCCAGCTTATAACTTACATATCTGTATCTCATGTTTTAAGTCATTTCATGTGTATCTTGTGGACTTTGGGATAATAGTTTGTAATCCTAACAGAATACTAGCACAAGAATAAGAATGAATTACATTTTGTAAAAAAGAATGCAAAGAAACCTGTAAATGTGGTTTGAACTTCTTTATTTATGGCAAATTGTCAACAAGTTTGATTAATCTAATATTCTTCATTTAACATAGTACTGGCTTCAGTTCAAGAGCACAGCTTAGTCTGTAGTATGGGATACTATAAATAGGGATTATGTCAACATAATTCATTATGAGCTATATTAATCTGCTTTAGAATTTTTTTTGAATTTTTATCTAATTGAAAAATGTTTACATTGTGAGAGGACAAGGTCAGTGAAAATGCAAGCTTGAATCATTGCTTTGGTATGTATTGCACTGTTTAAGGATCAGAAAACTTAAGACAAGGGGATAATAGTATCACTCTGTCAATAATTATTAAATACTTTGCATTCTGTTATATTGATGTACTTTTTGTTTTGTGGAATACGTCAGCACTTTGAGCTCAAGAATTACTATTGTGTTAACCACAGTAAATTGCTCTGAAAAATTATTTTAAATAATTGTGCCTGTCGTGGATTTTAATTTTATCAGGTTGTTTCTTTAAGCTGTAAAACTAACCATAAAACAGATTTGATATTATTATTTTATTGCTGCATAAAGACTGCTAAGGAATCTAAGGTATAGAATTAGAAGATTATACTGTATAATACATTCTTTCCTGATTCTCAGAGATACATAGTAAATTCAGTGTGCCTCATCTCCATACAGAGAGCTATCCTTAATGCAACAAGTATTTTTAATAAACGTAATGAACCAAATTAGATTTGATTGAGTAATTAATTCATTAATTTACCCCTTTGAATAAACTCCTCTGCTTAGTAATATCATTTTGCAAATTACTTGTACCTCAAAGGTAGAAGTTTATATTAAAGGTAAATGATAAAAGCAGAAAATAGAGTTATAAGCACAAATTCTGTTGTTATGCAATTAAAAGTTCACGTCACTTTCAAATAGATTGAACAAACATTTTTCTTCATCAAGAAAATGCTCCACCTTAGAGCCAAAGAAAATGAAACAAAGAAAAAGAGTCAACATTACAGAATATTATATTTTTCACAAAATGAGGCACTAAAAGTTTGGTGGGTGGTTTTTTTTTGTAAAACTGTGTGAGGTAAAAACAGTCATTTACAGATTAAATATATTTGTATTGAGTGCGGGGGAGAGAGAAGAAGCAGAAAATGTGGGGAAGAGGGTGTATGTGTGAAAAACGACTAAGGAAGAAAGGAAAGTTTCATACAAATATTAAATATTTGGAGACTTATTTACTTTTAGTGATAGTCAACATTTATGATATTTCCCCTGGAAGAGAAACATAATGTAAAATAGAGCTTACAAAAATGCTTCTTTTTGTAACTAAATGATTTCAAATGAAGATTACATCATCAGTTAATAGCCATGAATTTTGTGCCTTCCAGCTACAAATTAAGAAGTATAGTCTCTCTGAATACCTGCATCCAAAACCCTGTAATACCAATCTGAGCTGTATGCATTCAGTTAGAACAGCATACACTAGGATTTACCCCCCTAAAAATTACAGTTGTGAGGGTATATTTTTTATTGATGTAAACAGTTTAGCCACTGGTACATTAAATGTTGGGGTTTTTTTTTAGCAGTTTCCAGTGCTGTGAGACTGTAAGCTTATTCTGTTTACATGAACCATACAGTTTATAAACTTTAAAATTCTATATTTGCATTGCATTATCTTTAAACCACTTAAATATCCAGAGTAGACGTCAACTGAGCCAGTCAGCCAATATTCTGAGGGGTTTGGTTTTTCTTACATGTATACCAGAATCTACCTCACCTAGGCAGCATTTAAAAAAAAAAAATCAACTACCGGTAATTATTTTGTTTATATTGCCATAAAGTCTGAATCATTACAAATAATTCTATTTATGTGAAAACCCTTCTCTTCCAACCAGGTTGTAGGAGGAAAGATGACTGAAACTGGTCGGCTGTGTGCATTTATCACCAAAGTAAAAAAAGGAAGTTTAGCTGATACAGTGGGACATCTTAGACCAGGTATGTGTCTGTTTTAGAAATGAGTTACTGTACAGGAGACAATAAGCAAGAGAATAAGTGCTTATAAGTTTAGTTTGACGTAATCATGCATACTAAATGTGATGAGCGACAGTAGTGCAGCTGATAAATTTGAAAGTTCAAACCAAGCCCTACGTTCAGTCACTAGATTATCCATTTTGCCACTTTTACAGGCCCTATCAACTCTCACATTTTTTCAAAAAAGCAACTTTTAAAAAACAACCCAGACCAACAATGCCATATTAACTCTGTCAGTTTTACTAGGCAGTAGTTGTCTTAGTTGTAATGTTAATATTTTGCTGGTATTTATCCAAAGATGTTGTATGGGAAGCTTTTAGTTCTCCTGACCTCTCCTATATTTAAGACACTAGACTTGTTCTACAGTACAGATTGCACAATTTAGAAAGCTTGTAGTAGAATAGGGAGGTTGTCACTACCAGTGCAGTTCATAGAATTAGCTTTTTTTCCTAAGAAGATAATTATTACTGCAATTGCAGGCGATGAAGTGTTGGAATGGAATGGAAGGCTATTGCAAGGAGCCACCTTTGAGGAGGTATATAACATCATTTTAGAATCCAAGCCTGAGCCACAAGTGGAGCTTGTTGTTTCAAGGCCGATTGGGTGAGTTGTTTTCTAAATTTTCTTACTGATTAAAATAAAGTGCTGTTACATTTCACTTTAGACCCAACATATATTGTGCAGATTTTATACAGATTATAAAATAGTACCCAATATTCTATAATCAAAAAGCATGAGTGTAGGGCCAAATTGTCCCTGTTAGGCATGAGTTCAAATGGGTGGTGGTGGAGAGAGCTCCAGGAGGCATTCTGGAGCTTCTTGATGCACAGATTGGACATGCCTGCTACATCACCTCTTGAGAGGATCCAGAATATGCTCTTCTCAATGGATGGCAAATCCCTGCTCAGGGCAGTAAAGGCACTGCAATTACTGTTGGCTCCTGCTTAGGGGAAGCAACTTGTTCCTTGTCTCCGCTCCACACCTTTGTATCTACACATGGATCGGTCAAAGTATGACCCATAATGAATCCGGACACATTTCCTGATATGCTGCAATGTAGAGTTTTTGCCAGAATGTGTACAATGATAATATAATTTATAGGGAGTATTCTCTCATGTAGTGAAACCAGATTTTCTTCTTGCTCAGCTGTGAATAGACAGTCTAATAAATGATTGGTTAGCATCTAGCACGAGATATACCTCAGTGAAGCATTAGCACAACTCAGTACATAATTAACACTAATGTCTTATCTAAACTGTTCTCCCACCTCCTATTTAGTGTATTGCATTGCCCAATTGCTCTTACCTTTGAGACTTATTTCCTAATATCTAGCCTCGGGGTAGGCAACCTTTCAGAAGTGGTGTGCCGAGTCTTCATTTATTCACTTTAATTTAAGGTTTCGCGTGCCGGTAATACATGTTAACGTTTTTTAGAAGGTGTCTCTCTCTAAGTCTATATTATATAACTAAACTACTGTTGTATGTAAAGTAAACAAGGTTTTCAAAATGTTTAAGAAGCTTCATTTAAAATTAAATTAAAATGCTGATTTTACGCCGCCAGCCTGCTCAGCCCGCTTCCAGCCTGGGGTTCTGTTCACCTAGGTCTGCAGCGGGCTGAGCAGGGCTTGTGGCCGGGATGCCGGCTAGCAAGGGGCTGGCAGCCGGGACCCCAGACCTGGGGGGGCGGTTCAGGGGTCAGGGCAGAGAGTGCAGGGCAGAAGGCTGGGGGTGTGTGGGGGGTTCAGAGGTCAGGGCAGAGGGCAGTGGGGATGTGGGCGGTTCAGGGCAGAAGGCCAGGGGTGTGGGGGGATTCAGGGGTCAGGGCAGAAGACTGGCGGGCGTGGGGGTGCAGGGCAGAAGGCTGGATGTGTGGGGGGTTCAGGGGTAAGGGCAGAGGGCTGGGTGTGTGGGGGGGTGCAGGGCAGAAAGCTGGGTGTTGGGGGGGACTCGAGGTCAGGGCAGAGGTCTGGGGCGGGGTGTGGAGGTGCAGGGCAGAAGCCTGGGTGTGTGTGGGGGGGTGCAGGGCAGAGGGCTGGGGTGTGTGTGGAGGTGCAGGGCAGAAGGCTGGGTGTTGGGGGCGACTCGCAGTCAGGGCAGAGGGCTGGGGTGTGTGTGGAGGTACAGGGCAGAAGGCTGGGGTGCTCGACTTGTGGGGATGCTCCCAGCCCCCTACCCTGAGCGGCTCAAGGCAGGGGGCTGGGAGGGATATGCCCGGTTCCACCCCCTTCCCCAAGGCCCGTTCCTACCTCTCTCTGCCTGCTCTACGGAGCAGCAAGCACGCTGCCGCTCGGCTCTGCTCTGCTCCGCAAGGGCCATCGCCGGCAGGGAGGGGGAGGTGGAGGAGGAGGAGGAGGAGGAGGGGCCGGAACGCACCAAGCTGTGGGAAGAAGCAGGGAAGGGGGGAAGCTTGGCTGCTGCAGGACCAAGCTTCTGCCTCCTGCCCCCGCAGGGGAGAGCAGTGGGCGGGAGGGCTGAGTGGGGCGGGGGCCAGGACCTCCCCCCCACCGCTCTCCCCAGCCAGGGCAGGAGGCAGAAGCTTGGTCCTGCGGCAGCCAAGCTTCCCCCCTCCCCCGCTTCTTCCCCCAGCATGGCGCTTTCTGGCCCCTCCGCCCCTCCTCCTCCTCTCACCGGGCAGGCAGCGTGCCACTCAAAATCGGCTCGCGTGCCATGTTTGGCGCGCGTGCCGTAGGTTGCCGACCCCTGATCTAGCCTAAACATTTTCTTTCTTAGCTTCAGGCCATTTCTCTTTTCTTTATTGTCTTTAGAGACTGTGAATAAATCCCTTCCTTCATTTATACAATTCCTTAAAAGTATTTACAGATGGTGGCCATGTCCTCATTTTCCTAGCTCCCTCATTTTCTCCTTATATGTTTTCTTCTCCCATGCTTATATCATTTTCTTTGCCCTTTTTATTTTCTCTATTATGTTTATATTTTTCCTAGCCTGTGGGTCCCAGTAGTATATGAATTATTCCACATGGCTATGAAGAGGAGCATTATTACCTCCCTAATTTATTTCCTCTCCCAAGGTGTATGACCTTGCGTAATTTGTATTGAATTTAATATTGTTGCATATAGCCCTGTGTATTTGATGATATCTCTTTGGTTTTGAATTTATAATTACAAAATTCCTCTAGCTTCAAACTACAGATTAGTGATCTCTGAATGTCATGATGATGAATAACCATAATTCCAAAGAAAAAAAATTAATATGGTTTGATATTTCAGTTGGGATATTTCCATGTGGGTTCAGTTTCATGTTACAGTATTTGTATGTGTTTAATTTAGGATATTTTGTGTTAAAGCTTCATTTAATAATGATAAAAAATTTTAATGTCTGTCTTGTCTGTAGGGTGGGAGAATGTCTCTTACATATATGTTAGATTGCAAAAGGCAAGGACTAGATCTTTCTGTTTGTTCCGTAAAAAACCTAACACTTTGGGAAGCTGTAAAAATGATTATTAATAATAATAAGGCACACACTAACATGCACACTTTTTCAAATGGGGAGGATTCACATTTTTTTCAGATAGGAGTAAGTTTTATATCTCAGTTTCTTTCAGCTAGCATTATAGTTCATGGTGGCAACCTAAAGAAGCTAAAATACAATCCCCATCCCAAACTTAAGTCATTCATTTCATTCTTTTCTTTTTGTGCTCTCCCATCATTGTGTGTCCTCTTTCTCCCCTCTTCCCAGTGCTCCATCTCCTCTCTGCTGTTGTTCCCCCTCCCCATGATGTCCCCTTATTGACCCTGACACCACATATGCTGTCACCAGAACAGTTTTTCTGTAATTGCATTAGGAAGATGATGTAGGTTCTCAAGACACTCTCATTCCCCATGTCAACAACAGTGTGCTGCATTGGCTGAAGAACTGAGCAGGGGCAGAGCTGAGGTGCCTGTTCTGCATGCGAAACTTCTATTCGCTTTCCCCTGGCAGGGTATGTTGCTGCAAGCCTGTCGGAGGAGATGGGGTATTTCATCCCCAGTACTCCAGTGGCTAATCTGAGTGGGTTTATAGGTGAGGTCCTAATTCAGAATGATTGGTTTCCCTTTTCAGGTACTATTTGGCCCTCATATGATTAATTCTCTGTCTCATCTACAGGTAGTCCAAGGAGGCTGTGTTGAGTTCTAGATCCAGATTAGATTTAGGTACTGTTTGGAATTTGAGAGTAAAACTGTATTATAGTTCAGTTTTGGTTGTACTTAAATCTGACAAACTTTTCTTACTAGATTCCAGCTATTGTGTTGGAAATATCATACTGTCAGGTGGTATTGGAAGATTTCCAGTCACAGCCAGACTGTGACTGGACAACATACGTCTTACTGGGTTGGATCCAAGCAGACACAAATCTATAAGGCTAGGTCCTGCTGATGGGAGTCAAATCATAATCAATGCAGAATTAGAAAGGATTCAGAGTTGAGGTTCCAGACTTGACCAAGTCTTTTAAAAGGCCATTAATTCAGTTAAAATCACCAATATCTCACATTGCACCTGCCAGATCTTTCTAACTACACTGACACCAAGGTCCATCTCTCAGTTTGTTTATTACGATAGCCTGTGGGGCTTCTTTTGGCATTCTCATGGAAGTGCATTGTGCAGCCATGTGATAAATTCAAGTTCAGACCTTGCTTTTTGCCAGAGCTGTCCAGACTGGCAGAGCCTGGGAATTAGCTTGTGTAAGAAAGAGAGCGTTTTGTGGAATTCTTAAGTGGCCCACTCTGACATTTGAAGTGTATTGACATATTCCAGTGAGAGCTATATTCAGTTCTCCTTCACTGCACAATGGGTTGCCTAATAGGGAGGCTGAAGATAATAGGTTAGGGTAGTAAAGGAGCGGGAAATGGTAGATACTGGAAGATCTCCCACAAATGAATTAATAATTTCTGCATTTGGCTTGTCCCTCTCACTCTCTCAAAGTGAATACTAATGGGTGAGCTGCTATTGAGTGGTAATTGGTTATTGCTCAAGTACAGTAGCCTTTTCAGTTTTTTAAAATGTTAATATATATATATCTGGTATTAACGCGGGTGAAAGCTCTAAACCAAGGGTTCGCAAACTGTGGGTCGGGACCCCTCAGGGGGTTGCGAGGTTATTACATGGGGGGTCGCGTGCTGTCAGTCTCCACCTGAAACCACGCTTTACCTCCAGCATTTATAATGGTGTTAAATATATAAAAAGTGTTTTTAATTAATAAGGGGGGGTCACACTCAGAGGCTTGTTATGTGAAAGGAGTCACCAGTACAAAAGTTTGAGAACTACTGTCTAAACCAGGGGTTGGCAACGTTTGGCACGCGGCTCGCCAGGGTAAGCACCCTGGCGGGCCGGGCCAGTTTATTTACCTGCTGACGCGGCATGTTTGGCCAATCGTGGCCCCGACTGGCCGCGGTTCGCCGTCCCGGGCCAATGGGGGTGGCGGGAAGCGGCTCGGGCGAGGGATGTGCTGGCCGTGGCTTCCCGCTGCCCCCATTGGCCTGGGACGGCGAACTGCGGCCAGTGGGGGCCGCGATCGGCCGAACCTGCTGCGTCAGCAGGTAAATAAACTGGCCCGCCCGCCAGGGTGCTTACCCTGGCGAGCCACGTGCCAAACGTTGCCGACCCCTGGTCTAAACCAAGGCCTAACATGATATATTTTATTAAGTATCCCATCAAATGTGAATACAGTGAAACACACCTTAAATGGAAAATCAAGAGCTGAATAAAAAAGGAAAATTGATTGCCTACTAAAGATAGTGTACTAATAAAGATAGAGCTGAATTGTACTGGAGCTGAATTGTAATGGAGATACTCTAGGGTGGTCTCCTAGAATGGAGGTTTCTACTTAGGTTCCTAGTGTTTGTGGCATCCTGGTACAGTAGAGTAGTAATTATACACCAGCTTCATTTAAATTAACAAAAGACTGTTTAGCTCAATATGAAACTGAAAGAACAATCAGTACAGTATCGTGTTGTTTTTATATTAAATTCAATTTATTTTAAACTGGTCCTTCATTTTCAATTTGCAATATGCCACAAACTTTTGAATTCACAACACATAACTGTATTGTAGAAGTTGTCAGACGAAGGTTTTGGAAAGTTGGTAGGGGAGAGTTGAAGCTTTTGGAATCTGAGGAGGCATAGGAGACAGTATGGGATAAGCACATTGGCTTCATGTTTCTACTGAAATTGTGAGCAATGCAGCAGTTAATAATGTTCATAATTTAAATTGGCCACTTTTGGTTCCTATGGCTGCCAGGTGTCACATAACTTACATGTTACATCAGGCAGCCCTGTGATGCATTCTTGCAGCCTAGCTGGATTCTCATATAGCCAGCTGGGCTTCCGGGATATCTCCACAGTTGCTTTTTCCAGCTGTAGGGGGCTGTTGTGCTGCCTGCTCTACATTACGCAGCAAATTATCCTTTTAGCTTCTCCACTCACTGCTGTCCCTGCTGGATCCAAATAGGAAAGGAATGGCTGGTGGGGACAAATGTTTAAGGGCCCATTATTGACCTCAGCTAACCTCTTCTCAACTTCCCTAATCCTCAACAGACTCCTAACATCTCAGATATCCCCCAACACTTGCTAACCGCATTGCCCTCATTACCCCCACCCCAGGTATACCCTTCCAGACAATACCTACTACCCCAACAACTTTCAGACCCACCCTCTCACCAACCCCAGAAATACACAAACAACCATACACCTACATTGTGATACCTAGACATTCTTCAACAACATATACCTACCCCAGTCACAGCTGCCAACTTTTTTGCAGCTCTGTGTCCTAAACACCACTGGTGGGCAGGATGGGTGAGGAACCTCAGTGACTCTCATCCATAAGGAATGTCACATATGTAGCTGGGCAGAACTTGGAAGCTATAGGTTTCGGGGGGCTGAATGGAAGACTCATATTTTTCAGATTTCTTGTTTCAGCTATCTGCAGACTCAGGAAGACACTACTTAATCTGTTCACACTGGTTCATATTTTCAAGGTTTTATTCACAACCCAGTGTGCTAAAAATACATTTTTTGAATGACAGGTTAGATTTTGTACCACAAATCAGAGCCAATGGGCAAGGAGCAGATTACGCTGTAAATTTTTTGGCTGTGGAATATGTGAAAGCCTGAATATGTTTTTATACAATAGCCTTAATAAGTACCTTACATGCCTTTACTTACTAACATGATAGACTGCAACATTTCCTTAGACATGATTTATTGTGCCAGCTGCATCTCTTGTGATGCGTTTGGATTATAGGATACTGCAACACCACTGAACTTAGAAAGATCCCTGCATCATTAAATAAGGGTATCTTTCTAATTATCTGTAATACTTCAAGAAGCATTTGGTAAGGCTGTACAATTTTTTTTACTAGATTAGGTATTTGATAATCATACTATAGACTTGTTTCACTGTGTCAGATACCAGATTTTTCCTGAAAGATTTGTTTAATGCTGCACTTTCCCTTTTATATACACAAAACCAAACACATTTAAACACAAATAATTACTTTTAATGTTGTTTTTAGTCTGACTCACAGCTGAAGCTCTTTATTTGACCCTGTTTTGTCCAAATAGCCATACAGTGCTTTTGAAAGTATTTGTTCTTACCAGCATATAATGCAAGTTATATATGCACATCTTGGGGAAAACAGACATCTGTGTGCTGTAGGCATAATGAGGTATTTAATCATTGGAACATCAGTGCTTCAAAGTGACATGGTTGGTACATGGAGCTACATCTGACATGACATTTTGCCTCATATAGTAGTAGGTACATGCGACAGTAGTATGTCTGCTGTGTTAGCCTGCACAATGAAGATCCTGGTTTGGGGATTCAAGTCAAATACTTACCCTTACTTGGGCATACATTTATTTGTGATCTGTATGTTTTTTATCACTTGTGTTCACACCCAGACTGATTGGCAATAGTTATCACATATTAGAAGATAATATATTCAGGCTATTCCTGTCTATTTGTCCTGTTGTCAAACAAAATTACGGACTTTTACAGAAAGAGTAAGATTTTATCAATGCCATTACCATTGCTAATAATGGACACACTGAGACAACCAGTGTTAAGGATCCAACTTGTTTAAGGTGGTTTATATCATCACAACAAACTCACAGTTCTAGTTTGTGCTTAACTTTGGAATGATTGTATTTTTTCTTTCATTTTATTTACTCAGCCTCGGTATCTGTGACTTTATGGGTTCTCAGCTACATTCATTAAACAGTCATTACATAGACCTTTACTTGTTTTTGAACTATATATAGATAGATATAGACATAGCTATGTAAAAATGCGGGGAGGTAAATATTCCCTGTGGCTGACGATAGTCAGTAGATGTATGGTTTTCTCAAAGTACTATGTGGTGATTTGAAATGTGTTATAGTTGACAGAAGTTTTAATACTATTGTTAGATAAAGGATCCAACTGTCTTGCTTTTCATACTTACAGGGATATTCCCAGAATACCTGACAGTACACATGCACAACTGGAGTCCAGTAAGTTTCATATACTGAGTAGGAAAAACTTAAATCTCCCTTATGTGAGCACAAATTGAAAAGATGTCATCTATTTTCAGTGTAACTCTTGTCTCTGTGTCTGTCTACATATCTGTCTCATCTACCTTTTTTATCTATCTATCTATATCTCTTTGTTTAATAATGAACTGTCAAAAGTCAGGAAATTTAAAGTTAAGGTTGACATTCTCTTATAAACTCATGCTGCTCTTTAATAAAAAGAAAAGAAAAACATAGTGGTAAATAGTGTGCATAAAGGGTTGAATGTCAATTCTAATGTTTAATTTCCTGTACTTTGTTGTTTTGCATTTCAACTGTAACCTTATTAAACAAAACAATTTTGATGAAATTGTTGTTACCTCGGGCCTAGGAGATGGATATTTTGAAATCAGCACACTTCTGTTTTATTTAGACCATTCAGTATAACTGATCAAAGCAGTATTTCGGGAAAAAAGAAATTGTGGCTTGGCTTAGACCTTGTGTGTCAGATTTCAGCTGGAGTTATTTTTTTATGGCTGTTTTACTGTGCTGTTATAATAAACACCACCAATTAAAGTGGTGGCACAAATTTAATTGTAGTAATGTGAACAAGCTTCTACAATAACTCTTCACTGGTGAGCTAAGCCTTACAATAAAATCCATTATGTTTTTTTGCAAGACGTGGGATATTAATATCCAGTGTTCTGTATTGTATAATAACTTGATATCTTCCTTTTACTCTACTTGTAACATCACAAACATGTCATCTCCCACTTTGCAGAAGTCGTTGCAGCCTCCAGATTAAAATCCCCAAACTCTAGCATCTTCATTCTGCTATTTTTATAAAATTTGCAACAACATTTAGAGTCTGATTCTACTAGGAGCCAAGCATTTGTGCAATGTGCTGAGTACCCTGTGAAGTCAATGGGATTTAAGGATGCTCAGTAGATAAGCATAATACACAGTCTTAAGTAGTGGAATTTTCTATTTATGCTATGTGCTTGACATGAATGTTGACAGCTTAGTTTTTATTAAATTTTGCTCTTTTCCTTGCAAGCTATTTGGTCATCCTGAACACATTAAAATAAGGTTCCAGTTTTCACCACCATATACTCCATGTTTATTATATGTGTGGCTATAATTTGTTCTGTAGTATGTCAGAAATAATGTTTTTACAGACCGCTGAAAATATAAAGCACAATACAAGTGCTAATTGTTATTATTTTTTATAAATTATATTTATTTGTAATTTCAGGTTCTAGTTCATTTGAATCTCAAAAAATGGACCGACCATCTATTTCAGTGACTTCTCCCATGAGTCCTGGCATGTTGAGGGATGTTCCACAGTTCTTGTCTGGACAACTTTCAGTATGTAACCATTTGTTTAATCCTCTCAAATTGCTTTTTATAACATACACAATTTTTATGCAAAATGACAGCTAGCTGTAAAATAAAGTTCTTGTAAGAACCTAATTCTCTTATTTAGTGCCATGTTTCTCAGTATAGGCAGGGCATACCTTTTAAAGTGCAGCCTTTTCATCATCTATTGGGAACTTATATGTATCCATTAAGCTATTAGAGTGATATTCTGAGACGTATAGGGCCAAATTTTCAAATGTGCCTGAATCTTGCCTCCAGATGTATTTGTGCAATTGAGTGCACACACTTTTTGAGCAATAATGCCTACCCATGCATTTGACAATTATTTTCACTGCATGCATGCATGGATGTTAATACTTGAAAAATCCACACATAGGTGCTTATGCATATAAAGTTGCAGATACTCAGCTATCCACTCTGTGAAAAAACTGGCCGATGTTTTCAACAATTTAAAGAGTACTGTTCTCTCCACTGATTCCTCATGGTGCTCACTTTCATTCTTCCCATCCTCACTGTGACCAAAGCTCATCCAAAGAATCCTCAAATACATCATCTGAAATGATGATTTTTGGACTAAGCTAAAGGTTTGGTGGCTTTTTATGCTCTCAAATGATATTTAGAACTCTAGGAAGGGATTTTCAAAAGTGCTCAGCGTTGACCTAACTCTATACCCATTGAAGTCAATGGTGAAGCTACTGGTGATTTCAGTGGGAGCAGAGTTAGGCCGCTGTTGAAGATATTTGAAAAATCTCACCTTTATATTTAAAAATATATATAAAGATAGATGATCAGTGTGATATAAAAATACATACAGAATCTAGAGAATGTGTTCATAAAATTCTCACATCTGATGCAATGGTATGTAGAGATGAGGGGAGCGAATTTTTTTTTCAGTGTAGTCAGTAGTCTTTTCTGCTACTTTTTAGCTATGGATGAGACATTATTTGTTTTGCTTATCAGCACAGCCACCTGTAACTATTTTTCTTTAATTTCCTGTACTGTTCTGCTGTTGAACTACTTTGCAAGGCTGTATTCTTTGGAAAAGTGAGATTTAGATATCCTCAATATAGAGAGACTAGTAGGTGTGGAGACTGCAAAAATCTTTGCGCTAGTTTAAAATACAAGAACAAGGGGACACAAACTTGGGTTATCAAAGATACAAACATTAAAGTTTCTTTATTTAAGGATTAATATATAGAATAACTTTTCAAGTACAGCAAAACGTAATGAAAACATAAATAAAAAAGGACTTAGCCAATCATATGTAGAAAAGAAAAAATATTATGGGCATGGCTACAGCCTCAAAGCAGGGGACAAGACAAGAGTGACTTCCTGGCTTTCCTGACTCCAGAAACACCCCCCTCTGTATCTAAATACAAAATTTGCATAGGCTTAAGGTGATATTTTTGAGATGAGGGAGAGTAATACTGTTTATTCTCCAAATTGTTGTGATGTCACACTTCGAGATAATGAAAACCCAGGATGCTTATGAGCTAATATTAGGGGATGTGGAGGAATGGTCTGATTTAGTCACTGCAATTGCAGAAATCACCAAAAGAAAAATAAATGTCAAAAAGACGTATTACTCAGGGTTGTTGTTTACCTATTTTTTAATTAATTTTATTTTCAGTCTCTACATTTAAATGTCTTTTAAATATTTTCTTTTTAAAATGCCTTCCCCTCAAAGAAAACCAAATGGCATTAGGAGGAATTCAGAGAAATCTTCACCATCTTTGCCCTCTTGGGACTGACTTATGTACTATCATGCATCAAGCAAAAACGAGTTCTCTTTCACAAATATTTTTCACAGAACCTTTTCTGGAACCACTTAATTCTTCCTTTTTTGGGATAGACAAACCCCCTGAGTCATACAAAGTCTTCTTTCCTGTCTTTTGTTTTCATCCATAAGTTTAGTTCACTTTTTCTTTGTCTACTAATGAGCTGTTTCCCTGTTTTAATCAATAAAGCAGCTGATTTTCAGAGTATTGACCATCCAGAGCTCCAGTTGACTGAAATGGAAGCTGCAGGTGTTCAGTATCTCTACAAATCAAGCTCTAGCTCTCTTAAGCTGGGCACCTAAAATTAGTGGACACTTCTGAAAAGCCGATATCTTTTACTACCAGCAGAAAGAAAGTTAAGGTAGGGAGATGATTAGTATGAAATTTATTATTTCTTCAAAGTCCCTTGATCACTCTCTATCTGAAAATACTTACAGCCCTCAGTTTACTTTCCTTCAAAAAGATGTAAGTAGAGTATGTCTATCCATAAAGTATTCTGGGGTTGTATTAGGCAGCCACAACTCCTATCGTCATGGATTGGCAGAGCATACTTCCTGCTACCTCCACAGCCCACTTTTTGCTGCAGCTGCCACAGGGGCCCTATAGTTCAGTGATGGATGTAGTGGGGTATGGGTTGTGCTAGTCCCTGCTTCCTGGAACATAGGGATATCTGCTGTCACCACAGAAGATTCAATGGATGGGAAGAGGTGTGGCACTTACCAGGCAGCTGTCCTATTCTGAAATAGACCTGGTCAAATTTTTTCAATTGAAAAATGTTCCCAGAAAAAAAAGGGTTTAATTAGAAATGAAATATTTTATGGGCAATTTTCATTTTTTAGAGTAAAAAACGTTATGGAAATATGGTTAATTTTATTTTGAATTGAAATTGTAATTTAGTTTTGTTTTTTTGAAAACTAAAATTATTGAAATGTCTACATTTTGGATTTTTTTTCCCCTTTCAGCCTCCTTTGTCCCTTTTTTCCCTTTTGACACTGAAAGCAGTGCTATCAATTGGATTCCCCTTTACATACACTTTTTCTTTTCTTTTTTCATCTTTCCCACTGTAGCTTTCCAAAACTTACTCAATTTTGGAAATGTGACAGAGTGGCAAAAGAGAAATGAGACACTCTAACTTGGCTTGTCAGAAGTTGAGGAAATTTTGATCAGTTACAGAGTTGGTGTCTGTCTTTCATTCGTTCTTTCTTTCTCTGTTGTAAGCAGTGTTGTTTTAGCTGTGTTGGTCCCAAGATACTAGAGAAATAAGGTGCGTGAAGTAATATCTTTTATTGGACCAACTTCTCTCACCAGTGTAAGTTGATCCAATAAAAGATATTACCTCACTCACCTTGTCTTTCTTTATTTTTTTCTGTACTTTTCCCAGAGTTGGAGCAAATGGCAACAAAATTCAAATTTTTGAAATTTTGAAAATTCTGATAAAATATTTACCATTTTTTGACAAAAAATGAAAAATTGTTCCATTTTGAATTCTGAGAAATGGAAGCAACTTCAACATTTTTTGTGAAATTAATTTTTCCATTTTTTTGATCAGCTGTGCTCTGAAGATCTAGAGGTTGGTGAGCAGCTATCTGACTCCTCTCAGGAGAGACTGAGATGTGTGAGAGGGAGGGAAAGACTAATATTTCAGAACCACTTGGAATGAGTTTGGCATGGTGTCTGGTTGGGAGGGAAAATACTGCAGAATCCTGGGTCTAGATGGGAAGGAGGATACATGAAGATGCTGTTGGAGGTGTGATCATTGTGAGAGGAGTGTGGGTGTGGATAAGTGCAAGGGATAGTGCTGGTCTGGGTAGGAGAGAAGGTCAAAGGAAAAGGGGTGATGGCCTCCTGTCTGCTCTCGGAAAATTCTTGGAGGATATAGAAGGCTGCCTAGCCTCTCATACCAGTAGACACTATCAGATATTGTCAGGGTAGTGAGTATGTTGTAGGATGTGCTGTAACAGAGGGCTGCTGGGATTGATCGAGGCCTCCGTAGTTCTGTTAGAGGTGTGCATAGTTTGGATACATGTCTGCATTTGTGTGTGCTTATCCAAACTCTACTATCCATTTTTTAAAGATTTTATTGGTAGTATTTTGGGACTACAGCATATATTTTTGCTATCTTCAGGCTGGTTTACTGCTTGCTCTTCCAGCAAAAAATGTTCATAATACCACACATTAAACCAGCCCCAGCACAGCAAAAGTAATGATATGGGGTTGATTTCCTGCATGGTATTAGCTGTTTTTTGGCAGTGCTATGGCCAGGATTTCATCTTCCTCATACATACTTTGGCTATACCTGGTGCTGGCTTCCTGCATGCTTCTATGTGTACAATGTTTTTAAAATGCTGAGGGTGAAATCTTGTGTGCTCTCACATGTATTTTGGCATCAGTGTGGATGGGATTTTGTGTATATGTTTGTGTAGCAGAGCAGTGTCAAGAGTCTGGAGGTTTATTTTGGCCTTAGAAACATAAAACCAAAGAAGGTTGCCCGAGCCCATAACTTGCTATATTCCTTGGCCAAAATGTTCAGACTTAGGTATCTAAAATAGTAGGTACCCAAGATTTTCAAAAAGGCTGAGCATCCACAACTCCCATTAAAGTTAATAAAAGCCCTGACTACTTGGCACCTTAGAAAAAGGGGTCAATTATTTAGGTGTCTAAATGTGGAGTTAGGTTCCTAATGTTATGCATTTCAGTTTGTCCCAATGCCCCAAACAAAAGTAAGAAAATCTTTAGTGTGTGTTTTTGGAGGGCAGTGTTTACTGAGTTGATTCTCATCTCTCAAAGGCTGTGATATAAGTGTTATTTAGACACTTTGAGTGTGATGCAGTCACCCTATATTTTACATTCCCTTTCCCTGTTTAATCTTTCTCGTCACTCATTTTCTCTTCATTGCAGTTAATGTCTCTATACTTATTCTGTAACGGGAAAGACAGGCTATGTCCTCTGAGGATATACTGTAAATCCAGAATTGACCATTAGGGAGTAATGGAATTTGTTACCAGCCTCACTTTTCCACCAAGAGGCTGAGAGAATCAGCAGGAGATCATCTTGCCTAATAAAAAACTTCCATCTCCATAAATATTTACCATGTTCAAATGCGTATTTCATTTAAGTTAATTATGTGTAGTTACACAAAAATTGTGTATGTTATCATTTGCTAATTTATTTGAATAATTTATTGTCCATGTTTTGCAGAGGTTTGGCCTCTTTGCAGGGAGTAACATGTGTTGTAGTTATTTTTTTCATTATTATTTGCTTTACTTGCTGCCTTTCTCTTTACATTTCACTTACTTATTTTTCTTTAAATTTATTTGCTTTCATTTGCTCCAAAAAAGCAGCATTTGAGCCTTGGTGCTGTTTGTTTCATTACTACATTCTGGCTATTTCTTCGGTGCTGCATGAAAAGAATAACTTGGAGATAGTGCTGCAGTGGTTAGAATTAAAGATTGAAAAAATGCTCTTTAGAACTAAAAAATGATTAGATATGTAAAATCACAGTTACTCACTTTTGCACCAGATGGAGAAGCCCTGCAGAGAAGAGAGATCTGTCATGTATAAAATATATGATTATTTGCCTATACAATTGAACCCCATTATATCTCTATGCACCTCATTATATCTACCATGTATATTCAGCAGTTAAAAACATTATAACAAAGGTATATTTCATCACAAATTAATTTCTGTGGAAAGGGGATTGATAGATGCACTAGTCATAATGATGTGCAAAGATTGTATGTTTGTTGAGGGAGATGAGATTTAATTCGTTCAGTAAAAGAAGGGGAAAAAATGGAACAAATTGGTATTTATTATTGGTTGGTTTATTTTTGGAGGCTGCATTACTTTAAAAAACAAAACCTGTTTTAACAAAGGCTGTCTCTGTGTTTTAGAATTGTTCTTTAATGGCATATGGTAATGTCTAAGATTGTTTTAGTAAAATCAGTGATGGATTACCATTGTTAACCTAGGGCCCAGCCAAACCTGTGATAAGCACCCCTGCTCTCAGTTCCCACTGCAGTGAGTGAGAGTTGAGGATGTTCAGTTCATTGTAGGGGCAATTCAATCTCTTACGATTGTGACCTGTCTGTGAGGCTAAAGACATTGGAGCAGACCTGTAATAGAGGAACTCTGTATTTTTTTTTAAGTTGTTACAGTATAGGACTATCATGTAGACCTTGAAATCCTATTTTTTCCTTTGGAGCCAGGTTCTGACACATTCACTCACATTGGGCTAGATAGTAACTTTACAGTCTATCTTGGGTGAGGGACAGTATGCTGCTGTGCCACTGCAGGAGCAGACCATGGGACAAACTGTGGCAGAGGGTATGTCTACACTGGAGCTGGAGGTGTAATTTCCAGCTCAGATAGATGTATGTGCACTAGCTTTGATTGAACTAGTGTGCTAAAAATACAAGTGGCATGGGTGGCAGTATGGACTAGCCTCCCGAGTAAATACCCAGTGTCCCGGCTGGGTTTGTACATGTGGAGTAAAAACCTAGTATCCCACCACTCATGTTGCCACTTCTATTTTTAGCACGGCAGCTCAACCAAAGCTAGTGTGTGTGCGTCTACCCACGCTGGAAACTACACCTCCAGCTCCAGTGTAGATGTACCCTGAGAGAGTCACAAACTCCTCTTAGACTCCCCCTTGCTTTGGTGTGAGTTTCTTCTCCCCTTTTCATGGAGCAGCGTATTCCAGCAAGAAAAGCCACCTCCCACTCCCTGCCCCTCTCCACACCTTCTCTGCCCTTACAGGAGGGAGTGCTGGGCAAGTAGTCCCTTCTTTCTTCACCCTGTGGTAGAGCAACAGTCTTAGCTGGGCCAGCCGATGAACCGTGGTGCTGAAACAATTTTATAGAGGGGATGCTGAGAGCCATTGAACCAAACTGTAAACCCTGTATATGATGGGAACCACTTCAAGCCAGAGGGTGCAGCAGCACCCCTACTTCCAGCACCTATGCCGGTGGAGTGAATGGGACTTTCTTACTTCCCTGCACAGCTGTATCTAGCCCTTTGGATAATACCTTACTCTGTGAATAGTCACACTGAAATCCTTGGGATTACCGGTAGAGGAAGGTGTGAATAAGGTGACAGAATGGTCAAATTGTACAGAGTGTGATTTCTAACTATTGCTAAATTTTTCAGGACTCATTTCATGTAAAAGTTTTCTGAATACACCATATGTCATTCCTGTCATGACTGGTAGGGAATGGAAATACATTATCACACCTTTTCCCCACTGCTAATCTCCAACTGCTCCACTTTCAGTTTAAGGGTTGCTACAGCGTGTATGAGGGCTGCCGGTACAAATGCTACTTTAAACTGTGGAAAAGGGGACTGAAACCTGGTATTGCTGTATTAGTTTCTAGCCTCTCAGTGCACACTTTAAGCTTTCTGACAGAGATATTCAGGCTGAATTAATATTTTCTATTCCACTTTTAATTCCCACTGTACTCATTTTTTGCTTTTAGTTAAGATTATTTCTTAATCTGTTGAAAGTGTAATCAGTAGACAGACATACAGGGTGAAATCCTGGCTTTGTTGAAGTCAGTGTCAAAATTTCCATTGACTTCAATGGGGCTAGAATTTCACCACAGAGTTTTGACATGCTTCAGTTACAGATGTGCAGATTTAATTTATGCACTGCATTAAAATAGTTTGTTCTGGATAACTATGTCTTTGGTGTAAAGCTGTGTTTAAAGTAATAGTTGTGTGTCTCTGTTTTTACTTTTGGTCTTTTAGTTTCCAGCGTGTTGTCTTTTTTGGTTTTGTTTTATTGCTTTTTCTTTAATTTTGCTTACCAGAGCCAAAGCCTTAGTAGAAGAACAACGCCTTTTGTTCCTAGGGTTCAGGTAAAGGCCTCGTCTGGCTGACAGAAACTAAAGTTGTGTTTTTTTCTTTTGTTTATTTTGGAAAATGCATAGTAGGAAAACGTTACGTTTTGGTCCGTTTTCCCATTGTTTTAATATGTTGCTTCAAACCATATTAACAAGTTTCATATCATCTTGTGAGCAGCTTGTAAAATTCTGCATGGGGGTTAAATATTAAATTAAAATTTAAAGAGACAATAGCTTTAGTTTTGCTACTTTTGTGATATATATTTAAACTCACACAGGTTTCAGCAGTGATAATAGCTATGTGTTCTGCTTACATACATACATACATATGTATATTGTACAAGTAGTAAATAATTTTGTGCTGTGGATATTTGATCTCATTATACCAAGGTTGATGTCTCTTTAAATCATTCATTATCATTACTTAACACATCCTTTTTTGCATTTTCCAATTAATAGTAGTTCCTTCAGTGGAAGATCGGCAAATAAATTTGTACCTTGTCTAAAGAAATGAATTTTGTGTATATTATACTCAGTGCTTGCATTTTGAAAAGTAGGTTGATTTAATCAAAACCTGATTTAATTAAAAATATTTTCTGTCTGCCTCTTATCATTGAGTTTATTGAGTTTTATGGTCCTATTTGGGTACAAGTTGTTTGCCTTTTTTCATTAGGAAACCCTTAAGGTACTGTAGATTAACTCAAATGTAGGTTGTACTAATATGTTACAACGCTTCTGTTGTTTTGCTGCATGGTTTTTTCAGTTTTTTGTATGTAGAATATTACCTGCTTTTGTTACAAAATACTTTTATGGAAATGTTCATATTTTTTTTGAGAATTGTATATTTTTTTCTTATATTGCTCAATCTCTGCCCAAGGAAAGGTGAAAATGAAAGGTTCCAAATGATGAGAGTGAGATTTTTAATTTTCATCGTGAAATGGAGAAGTGATCATAGTATTAACTTGAAGGGAAATGTTAGATGAGATAGGTTAGACAACAGAAAATGGTTTGGCTGGGATTAAGGTTTAATAAGCAAAGCATACTGACTAATTTTTTCCCAACACTTTATGATTTCCCTAAAGTGGTATATACAAATGCATAATTATAAGTTCAGAATAAAAACGTGAGAAAAATTCAGAGCAAAAGGTTAAAAGCTTGGTAATATTGTTTAAAATAATTATTTTTACTATGTGCTACTGATATGTACTGGGTATCTAGTAAGAACTTCAGTGCAGATCCTTTAATATGTGACTGATAATGCTGGTTTATGAAGGTGGTAATCAAAATGGAAAACAAAAGTTATATACAAATTCAGACACAAATTGTTAAAAGCCCAGGAAGGCCAAGTACTGGCCACGACCTTATGTATAATTTAAATAATTCATTTATGTTTCTCTTCTGCTTAGATATTTTCAAAAGAAACTATGAATTAGCAATTTCATCTGACAAGCAAGTGCTCCACTGAAAAGCAAACATCATCCTAAATTCCATGATTTTATGAAGTATTATAATTTAGAAGGGACATGTGGTAGCCTATCATTTTTAATTACATTAAATATGACAAAAATCCTGATATAAATCCCATTTAAAATAATTTATTTCATTGAAGAATGAAAGGTATCTTCATTTGATCAAATGATCGTGTTACTCATGATTAAGAGAGTAAAAATAACAATAATTCTGTATACAGCATACACAGCAAATGACATGTGTGTGTAAGGAATAAGCATCTCCAACACTGATTATTTATTACAGTTCTACTAATTAAGGACTCTATTCAGGTGAAATTTTATTTTTGCACATTGTCCATGGGGTCTTTACAGACCTCTTTGTGTAGTCTTCTACAGAGTATAATTCTGGTCAAAGAGTCAAATGTTGCTTGGCATGGTTCTCAGGAAGCTCATACTCATGGCTTTGACAACATTATCCTAACTAGCATGAGAGACAAAGTCATCCCTCCCAATACGTCCATATTCAGTAGGAAGATAGATGGATTAATCTGGATTAGTGTACAGACCTCAGGGATGTTCACACTTCACTGTCAGTACCTATTCATTTAATCACTCTGAAAGATGGTGTGTGCCCCTGATTCCACTGTCAACTTCCCCACTGTTCACCCATACCCTCCCACCTCTCACCATCACCACCACACTCCCTCTCTATCCCCTGAATCCCTGGGTATTTTTTTGAGCTTCACTACTACTTTGATGTATTCCACACATGGGTATGTATGTATGCACACCATGCACCTGGGTCTGGAAATTTTTGGTAAGCAGTTTCCATTGGTCTGCACATGCACAGTTATTTTCCAGAATAAGAGTATAAAGGGCAGTGTGGCTAGACACCTCTCCAGTTCCTTCTTATCACCGCATGGCCTGAGTTGGAACCCTCCATGTCTACTTCAATCTTCCTTTACTGTGAACCTATGAATACAATTTGTAAATAGTTTTTGACAGTTAGGTTTTTTCTTGTGTTTAGCACACTAGCATAGTTAGTTTTATTCTTCCTGCTCCAGGGAGCTTCTCCCTTCGAAGAGGGACTTTGCCAAGAGTTCAGGGGTTCAAGAACTGTGTCTCCTCCTTCTATTCCTTCTCTGTCAATGACAATCTCCAGCATTGCCTCTATTGCCTTACGGAGGCTAATATCACCTCCAGTTTGCAGTATCTGCAGCTCCTTCCCTCCTCAAACTCGTGAGGGACCAGAGTTTGGTCTGCAGAAGTACTCATGGAGCAGCCCATGAGACCCCATTCAGATTCAGGCTGGGAAGACCTGCCTGAACAACAGTAAGAAACCATGATGAGGATGATCATGCCTAGTGGTCAGAGCCATGGCAGTTGGGTCTAGTGGTCAGAGCCAGGGTCAGAACTAGAATTATGAATCCAGAGTAGGGTTGGAGTGAGGCTGGAGTGAGCAGAGCTGGAGCAGGACTAGGAATAGGGCTGGAACGAGAGCAAGGCTGGAACAACTCAGGCTTTGGGAGTCTGTTGCCACCAACAGGAAGGAGTGAGTTCCAAGACCTGGAGTGATGTTGAGCAGACTGAGCTGCTGTTACTCCTGTGGGGCTCAGATATCTACCTTGGGAGTTACCAGATCAGTCTCTGTCTTGTGGATTGGCTGGAGCCCAGCACAGAAGTGACTTATCACCTTACACCAACAGCCTCAGCTAGTGAGCAGAGCCCCTCTAAGCATGAGTTCCAGAATTGAGGTAAAACTCTTAAGCCTAAGAAACCCTCTCCTAAGAATAGGGACATGAACATAAGCATAAGGTCATATCTTTACCTAGATATACCTCTAGTAGAAAGGATCCCTCCCTGTCTTGGTCAAAATTGGGCGAGTCCTCACGTGCAGGTCCTAAAGAATTAGGTCCTCAGAAAACTTCTGTCCAAGAAGTAAAGATCAGAGGAAGAAGATCTGATGGTATTGGCTCTGTTGCCACCCCACAAACCTAAAGAGCAGTACCCAGCGGTTCTGTCTGGGAGTTCAAAGCTGGAACCCTATCCAACAGCACCAACTGTGTGGGATCCCCTGAACACTAGATCTTCAGATGACTTAGATCCGCTGGTACCCTCCTCGGGAGCCCTTCAAACACCACAAAGGACCAAAGCCTTTGTGAGGTTCATGTCTATTTAAGAGCTAATCTGCTACTCAGCTCAGTCTCTGGTTTCATTTTTGACTTTTAGCAGCTCCCCTTCCTAGTTAGACATGCTGGACCAGCATGGGTGTTTACTTCAATAAAAAATCATCTCTCTCATGCATGGGCTTCTGACTCCTTCATGAGAATCCTAAACAACATGGTAGCAGAAGTGATTGGACATACATGTTGGATCATGTGGTGTGAACACTGATGAAAAGAATATGGAGCAACTAAGGGTTCCAGTGAAGCAGAAACTCTCCAGGCATGCAGTGGGCAACTGAAGGAGTTTTGAGCAGCAGCTCAGCCTTTACATGAAGGTGAGTGGAGTCACTGAGAAACCATGTAAGCAAAAGGTACTGTTTCTAAATATAGTGGGGCCTGATGAGTTAGATGTCTATAATAGTCTGCACTTGAGCCAAGCAGAGCAGGCTGATTATTATCCTCTGAAAGTTTGAGGAGTGCTGCATTCTAAGAAAAATGAGACTTTTGAGAGATATCAATTTCATATGTGGTCACAAAAAGAGGGAGAATCGTTTGAGGAATTTGTAAAGGATCTCAGACTGTTGAGTCAATTGTGTAATTTCAGAGGACTCAGATTCCCTAATTAGAGCCCAGATAATGATGGGGATCAGAGACCTGCAGCTCAGAAAAAGATTGCTGGAGGATCCTGATCTCAAGATAGAAAAAGCAATCAGCATCTGCCAAGCAACAGACCAGGCTGAAGCTTTTGGGGGGAAAGCAAGGCACTGAAATATCCTCAGAGAAAGGAGCAGAGACAGAACAGAAATTCCAGGGAGACAGCTGTGAAACACAATCAGAAGAAGTGTGCAGAAGACAGCATAAAGAGCTGTACATGCTGTGGTCACAGACATAGTCCGCAGCAGTGTCCCACCTTTGGACAAGGTTGCAACAGATGTAAGAGGTTAAAAGTGTTATGCAAGAATTTGCAAACAAGAGGAGTGTGGGTCCAGAAAGAAACATAGTGTACATTTGTTGCACAGAAAGGAGGATCACTACAGTGCAAGCAACAATGAAGAAGAAGTTTTCATAGGAATTTTGCAAGAACTAACGGCATCAAATGACTGGACTATTATGCTGGAAACAAATGGAACCTCTGTGACTTTTGAATTGGACACTGGTGCACAAGCCAATGTTGTAGCAGACTCTATTATAAAAGATCTGGAGAAAAAAACAAATGTTCACAGCAAGCAGATAATGCTTACAGTGGAGTAATGATTCCTACTGTTGGTGAATGTGATCTTGAGGTAAAGGTAAAAAATAAAAATGAAAAGATTAAGTTTGTGATAGTTCCAGGGAAATGTGTACCTATATTAGGGTTAAAGATGTGTACAGTGTAGGATGGGTATTGAAAAATGCAAAA